TATAACAAAAATAGCAAATAGATACTCAGATATCTAAAAGCCAAAGACCAAGGCTAAAACTAATATGAGATCTGTATAATTACACAGAGATTTCCACAAACATACTGTATAATTAATAACAGACAAGAGCAAACAAACAAGAAAGCCCAAACACAGTGATTTTAATACCTGCTCAGGAAATAGCCTTCCTGAGAATAAAACTGTGGTCTGTGTTAGTTTCATTCAAATTATTTTCATTGACATGATACAAAATGCAGTCATTTCTTGAGTCCATAGTTCTCTAAGGCATAGTGAACTGAATCTGTGTCATCCCTATCAGTTAACTGCCCTACCCATCACTTACTGCCTTCTGTCACAAGGACACTGCAGCCTCCCCAGCTAATGTGCTCATGCATACTCCTAGAGACTTTTTCTCATTGAGCAATTCCATTTTTATAAGCTTTCTAATTTAGACACCTAACATACTTTCCCATCCAGAGTGACTACAGTTTTCTGTTATTCCAGCAATATTTATTTTTTTTTACTTTCATCTCTGACTGAGCCACCTGAGGAAGTGAAGAGAGGAGAGAAGACAATGCATCTTGCTAGGGCAGGAATGTAGGGAAACAACTGCCTTTGAAGAATTAAAGCCAGCATGGATCGTGAGAGCTACCACGTTACATAGAACAAACAATAACACTGGAGAAAGGGTAACAGGAGCAGGAATCTTTGCAGTGGGAAAAACCTGAATGCTTTTATTCTGCAAATAGTAGTCATGGCTTGTTATTTCTTCTCAGCATTCATGGAGAACATTCATGTACTGAAAACTGCTCACAAACCATTTGATGTATTGTTTGCTTTATCCTTTCTATTTTTTCCACGTTTATCCTGTTAAGTGTCCTAACCAGACTGTGTTTACATGTATCCCTAAGCAAGCCACAACTGTTGCTAGCTACATATCATCTTTATAGTCTCATTATCTCTGAATTCTGTCTGGCTCACAGACTAACTTTTAGTATTTAACACTTGCTTGCAATGAGTCTTCTCAAAGCCTTCTAAATCAGTGTGCCCTGCATGCAAGATAAATGTTTAGCTCCTCAGCTATAGTGACCTGCATGTTCATTTTCCAACTAGCTATCTACCATCAGCTTCAGAGTAGGGCCTCGGGTGTTGTCTGAAAAGTAAGATTTTAACAATCTCAGCTATGCAGAAGCTGTCTCTTAAATATTTTTAATGTTATACACATGCAAAAGAACCACAGACCACTGTCTAGTGTGTTCTTTTGCAGTTCAGAACATTCTTTAAGTATTTTTCTGTTTACAAAAATAAAGATACTGAATAATGAACATACTGAATTAGAAAACTATCTGTCCAGTAGAAAAAAGAAAGCTGTTCTATTTCTTCTCAGGAATGTTTGTATTTTGGATTTTATATATATATATATATATATATATATATATATATATATAATTGTAAATAAATGGCAAAATACTGGAGTGGATAAGACATAATTCTTTTCAATAAAAGGTCTTTTAAAGAGAAGTGCTTGGTTTTAGTCTATGTATTTAATCTTCTAAAAAACACTAGATTAAACCAACTTTGAAACCTGCTCATTACCAGTTTCTTATGTCAGTTTTCTTAGCAATTCTGATGATCTCAGCACAATAGTGTCAGAACTGTTTCTTCAGTGTTTTGCACAAATATTTTTATTATCCTGACACTACAATAGATTGCATCTTGCATCAGCAAGATACCATGAAGTTTTAGAAGTTCACCATTTTCCCTAAATAGTCAATGGATCTGTTATCTAAACTGTCTGCCAGAGATTAAAAGTTCCTCATTTCAGAGATATAAAATACTTGTTACCAGAGCCAGTTCACGGCTTCTTTCATAAGGAAGACTTAACAAAAGGGATGTCCTAGAGGCAGCAAAACTCCAGGAAACATTAATTTTTCATCCAGGATTCCTTTTATAGGAATTCCCTGAGTCCATACTTGGTAAGTTTGAATCTGGGCTCTTTCATCTTACAAAGTTAGGGGTGAGGTTTCCCTAGTAGTGTGCAGCATGATAGATGATCCTTCAAAAGTCATTGACAATCCTTTCAAGGCACATATGACAATATTTTGGAGTAGAGTAGGGTTTGAAAAGAAACCAAGCAATAAGCACAGAAATAGGGTGAGATGACCTCATCTATGTTAAGAAAGACCAGCAGCTGCATGTTGGTGTGTCTGAGCCTTTCGGCTGGCCTTAAGGTGGCTTGTGGTCTGCATAATGTCCCAAGGCCAGTGTGACATGTTTTAAGTGAGTTTCCAAAGATGAAAGAAGTAATTCCTGTATTTGTTTCTACCTCAAGCCTAAAGAATCAGGAGTTGCAGCTGAAGGTTACTTCAGTTATTGAAGTTATCTTATTGAATGAAATGCAGCAACTGTCAAATTTTCTATTTTCTGTTTTGTTTGCTTTTTTCCCTGGTAAATATTCCTACTATATCTACTAAAAATATGAATAGTTATAATAAGAAGAAGTGAATTGAGTCTATGTTGCATTCAGTTCCCTAATTCCATCAGATCAGGATATCTGGCATAGTGTTTTGCATGCTAAATAATAAGACAACACTGTGTTCTTGGTGCATTTATTCATTCCTCATCTGATAGAAGTAATTAAGCATCTCTATACAATTTTGAGATGTTTAATAACAAAAAGTCTTGGGACAATTTATCAAAGTCACAGAAATGTTTCAGTCTCACTTTCTGAAGGTGGGATTCCTACAGTACTTTTCAAGAAACGCAACCAGAATAGAACAGAAAGGTAAAATTGATGAAAAGCAAAGAGAATAAGGACAGCAAATAAGGAAATCCAGAAATAACAATAAGACAGTAGTTAAAAAGCTGGGTATTGAAGAGAAAACTGAAAATGGGTACGGAGCAACTTGAGATCAAAAAGAAGACATTAAAAAAATCTGAAAAAAGAGACATAAGAGAAAATCTTTGAGTTCCACTAGTAGGTCATAGAAGCATGGAAGCTATGATTTTGTAATAGCTCATTTAGAAAAGTCACTGTAAGTGATCAATATGTTGTTACATTGCAAAGAAATTTCTTAGAGCTTTTATACCAGTAGTTACAGTGGCAGAGAACCATACAAGAAATTCTACAAATTTAACAGAGTATGTATGTCTGAGCAGCAGTGTCTGGGTCATTGCCAACATCTAAACTCTATTTAATTTCCTAGGTATTTTGCATTTTACACTCATGTTCCAGAATTAGCCAGTCCAAAGAAATGAACAAAGAAAGGGAATGATATGGGAATAATCTTCATCTTGTCCCCATAGAATCTTCTTGTGCCTTTTGGCTCCATAGAGCATATTGTGGATTTGCAATTATTCTTCCTCTGTGAAGCCCTCAGGGAAAGGCACACACAGGGAAACCTCCACATTCCCCATCACATGATCCTTCTGCAATAAACTGAAAAAGAAAGCCTTTCTAAAAGGAGACCTGAAAACAAATTTCTTTGGTATATTAGTCTTCATGTCAGAACGTCTCCTCAGTGAAAATTCTTTCAGCAATCCATGTGCCAGAATGTTATGGCTAGATAGTATTTGTTAAAGATGTATTGCTAGCCTTGTATAAAATATTTATTTTATTCCCATAACATTCTCAATAAGTAGCAAATGTATATTTCTTGGTCTCCATTTTTTTCAGGCCAAAATTTGAACCAAAGTCATGACAACATTTACAATAGACACAATGAGGCAAATATCTTGATCAGGGCAGAACCTGGTAGATACCTGTGTGTGTTTTCCCCTTGTTTTCCTTCCCTCTGTAACTATACAGATGGAAGAATCACAGCTCAGTGGGGTTTTTTCCCTTCATTTCATTTTTTTCTATTGTAGGCAGAGAAGAATAAAGAAAACTGCCAGTTTAGGATTTTAAGCCTAAAACAGTACAGTTCCTGATGATTGGAAACATGGTTACCTTAAAATCATGACTGCAGGTCACTTGAACTGCATTTATAAAAATGAAGATAACAAGAATTTCAGATATATTTGTGTCATTTTACTCCTGTTGTGGTAATTGATGATCTGACAAGGCAGAGTTTGTTCCTTTAAGACCTATGTACATTCTATCCACAAGCAGCTAAATAGTTGCTTAGTTGCTTCCCTTACATAATTCACACAGAATGGCATTAAACCTGAAGATGATGGTCTAGATTGTTTAGGCTCGTGGTGGCTAGAACCACCTTCTGTGATCCTCTCCAAGCTTATTACAGCTGCATTTTATATATATATATACATCACACTATCATACAATGATTTATATGTACCTAGTCAGATAAAACAATAATTTCTTACACCAAGCTATATGCAAACCCAGAGCAGAATTTTACATAAATTAATAACAACTTCTGGTTTAAACCACAGTGTGTCATGGGGAAAGGAAAGGAACTATTATTATATCCTTTTTGCTATTGAGTTAATATTGTTAAGACTAGGCCTTTCATGGAAATTTTTGGTATTCACATGGTGTAAGAACATCTAGTATTTGTAGCATTTGAAATGTTTATTTATTTGAGGTTCTTTCACACAATATACTTGCATGTATCCAAACAGCAGACATAAAATGTGTTTTCTGAAATACTTGATAAGGATGACATAGAATAAGAATAAGCTTTGGAAAGTACTCCATATTTTAAATCACCTCTGTTTTCTTTATGAAATAAAACATTACTTTGAGTAGCTAGGTCATTTCCATCTATAAAAAGCAGAGAAATCAGTGTTTTGTCTGATAGTATTTTGCATCTATTTAGCTTAACAGATGTACGAATGCACACAGGTGGAAACAACTCAATCTTTTTCAAGCCTGATGCTCAAGAAAATAATCAGGGCAGTGAGCTGGTGATGCTATGCCTTGTGTTTTTTGTAACTGAAACTATTGCAGTGGGGATATTGGAAGAAAAGAGTATTATTTTTTAGAAAACTATGGATTTCATGTTGGTTATCTAATATCCAACCTATGTCATTCCCAGAAATCACTCCAGCTCAAAAGACGTGGCTGTCCTACTCAGTTCTGAGTGTCATGCTGCTTCTGCTGGAATTAATGGTTCACCTAAACTGCAGGTGCTGTTAGACCCTGAGCCTAGGTGCAGGCAGTGGCTGCATTCTGTGGTGGAATAAGGTGAGCTGCAATTCAATATAATTTTCTCTCTTCCTTTATCTTTATTTTCTGTACTCCAGTTTAGACTGGAAGACGAAACATCCTTAGGGAGTAAAGTCAGTGTGTGCTGTGCATCAGGATAGCTGACCGGCAGGATCAGTTACAAACTGCTCAAGACTGTTAGTCTAAATGCAGTCCAGGGAGAGATATTAATGAATATAAATTGAACAGAATATAATCAGTGAAGGCTACTTTTCCAATTTCATCATACTTTTTTAAGGAGTGATAGGATTCAAAATAAATCTCTGATGGTGCTCCTTGGTTAATGAGCAGCCACCTGTACTGCCAGATGTACAGATCCTCAGGCTTTTCTACCTTTCAAGTCAGTATTCTGCAATCTAGTCACTCCAACCAGTAGTCAGGTAGCAAACATTCAGCATGGCTCACTCAGGAATTTCAGCTGGGATTTGGACCCTACAGGACTTTCCTTGGGGGAACTTGTCACAGCGTGTTTGTGCTGACACAGGGTTTTAGAAACAAAGTAATTTATATTACTTTTTGCAAGGTAAAAAGCCTTTGGGAAAAGTAATAAATAAATAAATCCTCTTTGTGAGGAAATCCCTCCACTGAAAAGAAAACAAACAAAAAAATAGTCCTCTTGTTTTGAACTGATATCAATGGCACGTTTTGGATGGCTTCTTCTTTCTTCTCAAGCTTCCAGCTATTTACAGGATTTTTGATATTTGTGGTTTCCCCTGATCAGGGATTACTGACTTATCTATGTTTTATTCCTGCCAAGAACCCTTATCCCAATCTACGCAATATTCAAACACTTTTGTCTATTACTCTGAAGAGGTAGAGGGAATTTGTACCAGTACCATTATTGTACCTTTCTATCTCACTTTTTAACGTCTTCCTTTATTGCTGTCCTTTATCTAATGCCTTGCTGTTGAGCAGACAGGCAACAATACAAAGCCAAACACATTAGTCATTGAAAGTACCTCCCTCACCCTTCATCAGAATCTGTTTTGTTTCTTCTGCAGCTGTATCTTACATAAAGACACATTCATGAAATCACACAAAACTTTGATTATTTTGAAGACATGGACAAAACAAGGAACAGGAGAAAAACAAGCAAAAAATCCAGAAGTAGAAATATCTTCTGTAATTGCTTTCATACTGAAATTAAATTATATTCTTCAAGAAAATGCTCAGGATGTCTAAACCAAATACTTGGGAAGTGATATGAGATGTAATGAAAACAAGTACTTTTTTTTTTAATAGTTCATCTGAAAATACTTACATGCAATTTTACTGACAGTGACACTTACTGTGTTGGTAGACAAACACAGAGGTTGAAATTAGTAGATATAAATCATTCTGACTTGGAAACACAATGGAAAATTGCAAGTTTAGTGTGTAAGTTGAGACCTGTTCTTAAATATAGACTCTTTTAGTTTCCAAGAGGTGAAAAAGAAAGGTGGGAGAGAATAAGAGAAATTATTTATTTGGGTTGAACAGAAACAGCAACAATTCAGACTTACTAGAAAAAATGAGCACTTCCACATCTCTGAGTTTTTTCTACAAAAGAAAATTCCTTCATTTGAGCATGGGTTAAGGTTTCCAGCCTTTGGAGTAAACACTTCAGAAAGCACTGCAATCTTTTTTCTTCTTTCAATGTCAACTGAAACAAAGTCAGGATTAGTGCTCAGTGGATTTTCTAAAATAAGTGAGTCTCACATATAAATATACTCCTTGGATGCAACTCTACTCAAAATGGTCATAAATTTGCTTCATGCACAATGAATACAACACAATTCAGGCTCAGATTTTGAATGGAATCTCAGGCAGATTTGTCATGTGTTATATATTCCACTTGAAGCTATCCAGATTGAATAAATAAACATCAGTTTATATTCTGCATAGTAATTAATACAAAGATTTGAATTATCCTAAGAACCTGGGCCTTGAAAATTCAGAATTAAATTGACCATCCTGCCTGAAATCTAACAGTTATGGAATACCGTGCATTCCTTAATACACCATATTACAAACACAAACACAGTTAACAACAATACAGGTAATAACTATATCAAAACCTAGTAGCAATATATTGATACCCAGTTACCAAATTTCTTCTGAAGAACTGTTGTTGCTCTCTGGAAAACAATACAAATCACAAGAGTTCCCAGGGAAGTGATGTTAAGGAATCGTTGCTCTTACATGGTTATGTCTCAAGCAAGCATATGGATAAAAAAAGCACTAATTTAAAAAACTATTAAGGAGGTCATGAAGCATAAACACACTGCATAAGCCCTGGTTAGGCAAAACCCTAAGTCACCCCTGTTTTCTTTCATTCCATATTTTTATCCTGGATGGAAACGAAGACAACATTCTCTCTCAACTCTCCAAATAAAACTTCCAGGAATCAGGTGTTTCAAGCTCAACAGAGGCAATGAGAAAGAATGAGGGTGTAGGGTTGTTGTAAGAAACCACAGTAGTAGATTCACATCTATAATTTCAAGCACTGTAGTAAATATTTAAAAACTTCCCTAACAGTAAGCTAAGATTCACAAATCCGTATCACTTTAGTCTTAAGGGAAGTTCCAGTGGCTCTGGTTCTGCAATCAGCCCTGTTATTAACAGCTGTTTGTTCACCTCAGTTTGTGGAGAAGGAAAGAGATCATTATTAATGCCAATGTGAATTCTTTTTATGAATGGTACAACCAGCTAGTTGCAAAATAAAAAGTTACAAAAATAAAGGGAGAGAAAAATCTTAAAATGTAGTGTCTAGGTAATGTTATCCTCATGGAATCAAGACATATGGTGGGAATGGGCCTATAAATATTAATAGAGATAAATAAAACAATAGATAATATCAAATAAATATAGTATAATGACAATAAATTAGAAAGACTAGCCTGGAAATAGCACACAAACCGTTTCCAAAATCAAGTAGAACTGATGTAAAGCCTGGAGGCAATGAAGCCGAAGAGAGGTTAATCTGATCATGCCGCAATCCTTATGACCTCTTTATGTTGATAGGATCCTTAATTCCTCTTAAGCGGAATTAAAACTTATGGAGGAATAAATATGCTAAACTGTGCTGAGATGAAAATGATTATCAAATTATATATTGCTGAAAATAGCTGTGATGTGAAGGCTGCCCATGAGACAGCACTTGCCATCACTGCATCACTACCTGCTTCTGAAGGCAAGGTGCTGATTTTGAATAACCTGCTTCTGCAGGAACCTGTTCATTTGCCCAGTGTTGCTTCGTTACTTCAGCAGTCTTCTCTCTTCTCCAGCAGTTAGCAGACCACCATGAGGCACTTATGTTTTACATTTGCTTCAACTGAAAATAATGCTAATGAAACATCAACCAGCTTCCATTCATGATAGGTCTAATTTTGGCAGACTGAAATTAGTAAGTGCTATCATATTTTTTCTGTCACAATTCATACACAGACCTGGATGTTTCAAGAAAAAATTAAACTAAGATGCCTATCATTTGAAAGAAATGCAAAAAATCCAGAATTTCTGATACAGATTGTGAACACAATATCTTGTGTAATGTGTATAAACACTGAAATAAGGTTAAAAAGCTCAATCAGCTTCCATACTTTGAAACATCTGGAGGTCAAGAGACATTTTTACAGGGATGGCAAATGAACTGAATAAAAGGGAAAATAGATTTAATGAAAATGCTTAAGAAAATACTTATCTTTAATTGCAGAGTATTAATGTTAACAACATTCACGTCAAGCTTTTACCTCATTGCAATTGTGTCTTCCTTTGGACACAAGTAATCAAATTGTGTCAGTATAATTTAATTATTTTGGGCATAATAAGCTTAATGCTTTATATAGCAGTGCTAAACCTAACAAGTGCACAGAGTCCTGTAAATGCAAAGAGCAATCCTCCATTGCATAAACCATTGTGTGCAATCACCCCCATTCAGACAAAGCCATAAACACCTGCAAGAACCCTTTCAGAGGGGTCAGCACCTGGCACAACACAAAACTATTTGTGCAAGAGAATTTTCCTGCCACTAAAAATGTATTTACAAAGCATGGATGCTCTTTTTTTTTCATTTTGAAAGTCTTCACATTATGGCAGAATATGCACTGCACTCTACACACACTGAATGCTCAGATGCAGTTTCAGAAATATTTTAATTAAAATGAGTTATCAATTACTTGAAAATAATTGCCTTCAAATGTTTCCTTACTCTCTTTACAGCTGTGAAAATTTCTGAATAATAATGCTTTCTGGGAGCAAGATGGGGGAAGGAAGACACCTCATATCATAGACTCTTTTTATTGTAATGCTGAAGGCTATGTCTGTAGCTGATATGTGGCATATAAAAAGACAAAGTATAGGTAGGTCTGATTATCTTTTTTTTTAAACTTGAGGTGACTTCTGAATATAGACAAATCTCCTATGGAAAAGCAGCCAACCTCCTATTTAAATTATAGAAAAATATTTTTATATAAAATATAGTTTTAAAGTTGTGTTTAACCATAAGGATCAATATTTGAATTGATATCATATGATTAAATTAGCTATTTCTTTTAGAGTATAGCTACTATTATTAAGATACATGCATAGTATCTTTTATATCCAAATTTCTTTTCCTAAAATGTTTTCTTAAATTTCCTTTAAATTGAGGGTCCCCTCTGCTTGACTACTATAAAACATCATTCCTGGCAGAACTACCTAAAGTATTAATTTTAAAAAACTTGCTTCTTACGCTAAGTGAAGACATAGCATGTGAGTTATTAGAAACAAAATTACAGTTCAGTCTCTGTGGTATTTGCTGTTGGTTTTTTTCTAATTAAAATATGTCTTCTAAACCAAATCAAAACAAAACAGTCAAAAAACCCCAAACAAACATAAAAAAAGCTTGTTTTCTTTGTCCTATACAGGAGAAAATACCAGAGTTCCGAACAGACCTCAGCATTTCAGGATTTGGTGCCATGATGTATTCATTTAAGTTTGTGTGTGTGTGAATTATTTCCCAGGGATGTGAAACTCTTTTGTATGTTTCTCATGGTTATGTAACTTACTGAACTGACATTTGAAAAATACATGTGACTCATACGGTCTCCAGTTTTGGTGAAAACTTCTGGATTCCCAGAACTCCCAAAAGAAGGAACCTATGGAAACCTTTTGATTTGCCTCAGTGGTGTGACAAACTTCAACCACTTCTCATCTCCAAGCAAGACACCAGTTGTCTCCCCTCTGTTGCTTTTGCAGCAATTGCACACTAAATTTAATACACAGGAGAAATATTGAGCTTCAAGGTTCTTCCAGGGAGAGAAGCAGAGAAATGGATCCCTCTTTGCATTATATACTTGAGGAAGTACTGGATGAAGACATGAACCAAAATATAGTCCTAAGATCACTGTAAGGGTGTAAGAATAATGCCATGCATAGGGGTGTCAGCTCTCTTGAGGGTTAAGGTTAAAGAAGCAAAGGCTTGCACTATCATGAAAAATTGCCTCTTCTTCAAAGAGACACTGTCCCACCTTAGTAGTCATGATAGTACCTCTGTATTTCATGTACATAGATTTTCATATGCTTCTGATTATTCTATATGCTTCTGATTATTCTGATTATTCTGATTATTCTATTCAAACATATGCTTCTGATTATTCTAAGACTTCAGTTTTCTTAACTGTTTTAGTCAGCAAGGAGTGGATTTGTTTTTTCAAATGGCACTATAAATAGTCATTCCTCTATTCAACTTGACACATATGGTCATTCTATCATTTTTGCCAAAACAAGGGAAACCAAACAAAGATTTGGGGGAAAAAATGGAAAGAGGAAGAATAGTGAGGTAAAGTGTTTCCTGCACTTTGTCAGACTTCTTTATTCTCAGAATTTCTTCATCTTTTTCGCACAGAATCTACACAGAAACACACTCACAGTGCTGACAAGTCCACTCAGTTCAGGTTTACTTCTCTTTTCCCTTTAAGATAATAAAAATCATAACAAGAATAACAAAGATTTTATAGTCCACTAACTTCACAAGAAATTGAAGCAATACTTAGGGTGTAAAGAATAAAAGTTTGACCATGCACTTTTAAATTATAGCTGTAGTTTTTTCTTAACTTTGAAAAGGTCTGTACTATTGCTTCACAATTAGTTCATGAAGGCCATTTTTAATTTTAATTTTTTTTTTTTTTTGGAGCAGCAAGACAGCAAGATAAAAAATCTATTTAGAAAGATGGGTAAAGATGGAAAATTAAGATCCAAACTTGAGATTCAAACACTCTCAGGATTTGCACACATTCAAATCCAGACAGAAAAACATCTGTATGTCTACTGGCTCTGACCTAAAAACTCACACCAAAAAAACTGGTGGGCTCTTTGGCTAAGGCCTGTCTATATTTAATAATCTTTATTATACATTTGAGAATCTAAATAATTAATCTTTTTTCTTTGCAGATCTTTCTAAAGTTGTGAATGGAAACAATACGTCCATTTAGGAATACTGATCCTCTACACACTGACCTCTGAGGAAAAAGAAGAAGCATTGTAAAAAAACCAACATCTATATGTGAACTTACACTCCTAGGTGGGGATAGATTTCAAAATATTTTGAGGAGTTTCTCCAGCAGATGAAATGTCTCGAGCATGTCATTTATCTTATCTGTCATGCCTGGTAATATGTAGGACAGAAAACATTATTTCTTCTCCCACCACCCAAGAACATTCTGTATTTTCATAAGAAACAATACAAATAGCAGATAAATTCTCTTCTTCTCCTCTGTGTCTAAAACAGTTGGATGCAGTTGACGTGCAGGGCTGGCATGAAGACTGAACACCTGTAGCCATCCTGTTAGCACTGAGGAAGCTGGACCCTAAAGCAGAAGAATCAACATATAAACTAAAGGAGCTTTATTTGATAATTTTGTGTAGAAACAGAAAGAGCTGGTTATAGATTAGATTATCCAACTTTGTGTTAATGCATTGCATCAGATAAAAAATAAGATTTCTATGTTAACTCTAATTAAATTCACACTAGGAAGAGTCTCCTGTAAAATGAATTGAAATGCAGACAGGAAAATGAATAGTAGTTTTTGGCAAGCTCTACCTTGATCCTTATTTTAGGGATTATTCAATGATTTACCCAACACAGGTGTATATGTACATCACCTATGGGATTCCTCTATGAACTTTTCATTAAATGAATACTGTCAAATATTATATTCTGGCCTTTAATCAATCCTTCTGTGTAGTTCCCGTGGCTGGAACCACAGGAGGGATGGCCAGCTTCCCAGCATCTTGCTCTAATCATCACTTCTCAAGAGAAAGCAGCTCCCTGCAAATCACAAGTATTCACTCCTCAGGTGCTTTCCCACAAAATCCTTCAGATGGGAGGCTTAAAATAAACCTTTAAAGGGATCAGATTGTGCTCCTGGGGTGTAGTTGTTTTGTGTTCTCTGCTTTTTCCGAGAAAAGGATCAGCAAAACATCTGCTGTAGGATATGAAGTAGTTGGAAAAAAGAGGCTTTTAAAGGCCTAAATTAGAATAAGGGAGATGAATCCAAGAAAACTGATAAGCAGTATTAATAATTTGTAAACTACCAAAGATAATTCCATCATATCTGCTGTCTATTACATACAAAAAATATGATAAATTGTAGCTTACTGTAAAGAAGACAGTAAAAATTCTAGCATTTACAGTTGTTTGAGAAACTTTAAATCTTCCTTTGTATGTAATTCTTGAGAGATCAGAATAAACATAGAGATCATGATCATGTAATTGAAGGCAGTGTTGTAATAGATATATACAAATGCAGCAACACATTACTGGTATCTTTTTCTGCACTATAGAGTTTTTTCCTCTAGACTCAGTAATGTGTAGCATTTTACACTAAGCAGTCCTATCTTCATATTTTTCAGTACTATGACTTATAAGGTGTAGGAGAGCCCTCAAGATGTCACCTGTAAGACACCTTGGCTATGGAGAGAATTTGAAACTGTGCTTTGTTTCATACATTTTTCATCTTCTGAGATAAAATGTTAAAGGGCCTGATAGGGAAGCCAAGAAAGAAATTTCCATGAACTATACTTACAGTATCATATAGGTTTAAATAATTTCTGAGAAAAATGTAATAAAAGAAGATTACTTAGGACGTAAAAGAAGCTGTTGAAATGTAGGTCTCAGAGATTATGAAAGCCACATACTACCTCTGCAGCAAGTTCTGGCTTCCACAGTTACCTACTGCTACTAAGGTTTGGTTGCTCAGCCTTAGAAATTCTAGGAAAAATACATGAGAAAGGGATTGAGAATTTTTTTAAATTTTGTGACAGTAGTCACTGTCGCCTGGACTGTTTCCAGTATCAACTGCCTTGAGGTAACAGCACAATCAACAGTTATGAAGTCCAAAAATTAGAAATTTGTTTGGCATAGAAATCAGTAATTTTGAGGAAAGGAGCCAACTGAAGAGTACTTCATGCATCTAGCATCTGGTCAGTAGCTGCTCTGTACAGTGTGGAAGAACATTGTAGGAAGAGATTTGAAACAAACTGGAAACAAGTAGTTTAAAACAAGCCTTCTGGGGACTAAGAAAGATTCTGTGTTGATAACAATAAGGAAAAGATAAAATATGAGGCTTCTGGGAAAAGGGTGAACCACAAAATAAGCATGACTTTTAATATGACTGAACAGAACCCTAAGCATCACTTTCCAAAACCTTAGTTTCCAGAAAAGCTAAAAGCACGTCTCTTAAAAATGAAAACAACTGAGGTTATTAATATATAATTAATTACATGACAAGTAAAATAAATGTTATTTTTAATTTTCTAGAAATACTAATATTAATCTGTCAGTTCTTAGGCGATTTTCAGTGTGAGTGAGAAAATTGGAACTGGAATCTAAAATAATAAAGCTACTCTGAAAAATTATTTACTACAGGGTTTTGTTTAGTGCTAGATGAAAGAAGGCTGTGAATAAACTAATATTCTTTAAGCCTTAATGGGATTAAGGCAGCAACATGATGCAATTTGATTATTTCCAATAAGAAGCTGAAAGCATTTGGCTTTCACTTTCATAATAGAATCACTCTTTTCTAAGCACTTTTAATTTTGATGGGATATCCAATATAACATTATGTGGATCAGCTTAAAGACAGTTATGTTTGATTATTTTCCTTTCTTTGTTTATTATGTTCCTACTGATATTTTAAATAAAAGGGTCTCTGCAATTCAAAGGCAAACAGATTCAAAAGCTGTAATTAACAAACTCTAGATATGAGCAACTCTCAATATACACAAATACAAGAGAAGTCTTGAGCCAAATCTGAGCATGATGAATAAATTATTCTAAGAGCCATTACTTAAGTATCATCAGCAATGCCAGGAGC